GAATTCTTTTGTCAGCCTGCCTACTGCCTCTCAGGGAGGTGAATAACCAATGTCAATGGGAGCATTTATTCAGCATCTCTGCTGAAGCGCTTTCCTGGTGCAGATGCAGCATTTCAAGTATAGACAAGGGCTTAGTTTCTGTGACAACCCCTCCCACCATGCTTCATGAAGTTTAGCTTATGAATATAAATGTGCATAACTCGAAAATACCTCATGTACAGCCTGGCCATATTGCCCTATGGTGAATATGGGACAACTGGCAAATTGTGCAAATTCCGGCGAGTTCAATGGCAATCAATCAGAGCTGCATTGTAGCCCCCCCCAAATGCTACCAAAATTCCAGGGCCAGAGAGGGGGAAATTGGGGGTCTAAGCAGGGCGGGAGGGCTCAGGTATAGGTGCAGAATGACTTCTATTTGGGGGGCAGTGGTCAGCAGGCTGAAACCAGCTCCATAGGTCAGGACGGGGATGCAGTGACCCCTCCAGCCCAGCAGGGCACCCATCCTGTCTTGGGTCTGTCCTCAGGACTGACCTGCACTTCCACTGACGCTTGGGGGGCACGTGGCACCCAGTTTATTAACACACACGTCCCCGTGTGAGATCAGAAACCTCTCCCTCCCCCGCCATGCAGCGTGTCCCGTTCCCGGCCGCTGGAGCAGACCCTGCCCCCCCAGCCATGCAGAGTAGCCATGCAGGGTGGAACTGTTTAGTGGTGCAGAGCAACAGCTGAGAACAGAAGGCGATGGACACCACAAGGATTCTAGAGTAGCAACTTGCACTTGTCGACTAGGAATAAGGTTGGAGTTGAGGGGTTAACGCCCCACTCCAGGGATTAGTGAGGTCTCTGTTGTGATGACCAAGAGCAGCCAAGACCCTGATGTGAAACTTGCATCAAATTAAATGTTTCCTGTGAAATTCCAGCCCAACTGCTCTGATAGGGTATGTCTACACTACATAGTTAATTCGAACTAATGGACGTTAGTTCGAATTAACTTTGATAGGCACTACACTAGCGCTCCGCTAGTTCGAACTTAATTCGAACTAACGGAGCGCTTAGTTCAAACTAGGTAAACCTCATTGTACGAGGACTAAGCCTAGTTCGAACTTACTAGTTCGAATTAAGGGGTGTGTAGCCTCTTAATTCGAACTAGTGGGAGGCTAGCCCTCCCCAGCTTTCCCTGGTGGCCACTCTGGCCAACACCAGGGAAACTCTATTGCCCCCCTCCCGGCCCCGGACCGCTTAAAGGGGCACGGGCTGGCTACGGTGCCCGTGTCAGGTGCAAGCCTGCCAGCACCCAGCTAGCAGACCCTGCATCTGCCATGCTATGAGCCAGGACCGCAAGAAGTGGGCACCTTCCTGGGCTAGTGCAGACATAATGGACCTTGTCCATGATCTCTGCACTAGGTTCAGGAAAGTGGCCGTCTAGGGCAGGAGGGCTGCCAGCCTGGCCACCCAGGACCAGGTGTGCATGAAAATCAAGGGGGTCCACTGAGACCCCCGACACTGAGCCCTGAGCTTACAATGGCCGTCCTGGGTCAGACCAAAGGTCCATCTAGCCCAGTAGCCTGTCTGCCGACAGCGGCCAACCCTAGGGACCGTGGAGGGGATGGACCAAAGACAGTTACCAAGCCATTTGTCTCGTGCCATCCCTCTCCAGCCTTCCACAAACTTTGGGCAGGGACACCACTCCTACCCCCTGGCTAAGACTACTCCATGGACCCAACCTCCATGACTTGATCTCACTTCCCTTTAAACTCTGTTCTAGTTGTAGCCTTCACAGCCTCCTGCAGCAAGGAGTTCCACAGGTTAACTATTTGCTTTGGGAAGAAGAACAACTTTCTCTTACTAGTTTGAAGCCTGCTACCCATTCCTTTCCTTTGGTGTCCTCTAGTCCTTCTTTATGGGAACTCATGAAGAACTTTTCTGAATGCACCCTCTCCACCCAACCCCTGCTTTTAGAGACCTCTATCCTGTCCCCCCTCCGTCTCCTCTTTTCTAAGCTGAACAGTCCCAGTCTCTGTAGCCTCTCTTCATCTGGGACCTGTTCCCAACCCCTGATCATGTTAGTTGCCCTCCCTTCTCCCAGCCTTTCTCTTCCCCTCTCCCACCTCCTTTTCCCAGTCTCCCCCAGTTTTGTTCAATAAAGACAGAGTCAATGTTGGAAGAAACGTTATCTTTATTTTGTACATCAATAAGAAGGGGGGCTAGGGAAGGGTAAGTGGAAGGAGGTGAGGGAGGAATGGGGTACGAGCCCCCGATGGGGAGGACTGGGCTGGCTCTGCGGGCTTCTGGGGGTGGAAGCTCTCCTGCAGCCCCCCAATTGCCTCCTCTCCCCAGATGGCAGCCTGCGGCAAGTGCAGCCGGGCTGATGGCCGAGTGGTGTGATGTGCCCAGTGTGGGCACTCAGGGCACTCCAAGCCAGGACTGCTTTGCAAGCGGGGAATCCCTGAGAACTGTCTGTCCGGGGTGGGGGTCGGGACCCTTTAAGCACAGCCCTCGGCTAGCCTGAGACAGCATCTCCACGCTCTAAGCCCTCCTGTGATGCCCTGCCAGCACTGCTTCCGGCCAGCCTTAGCCTCGGTTCAGGGTCCACTTAATGTGGACATGCTAGTTCGAATTAGCAAAACGCTAAGTCGAACTAGTTTTTTAGTCTGGATCTGTTAGTTCGAATTAGCGCTGTAGTGTAGACATACCCATAGGGAGCAAGCTCAGCCCGTTAGTCCCGCGGCAGGAGGTACATGCTGTATGTAGACCAACAGGCTGAAGAGGGTTCTGCTGTTTTTCTGAGCTGATTGACTTGCCATTCTTTGAGCCTTCAGGAAAAGGCCAGAGGTTGGATCCTCCCCCTTTCACGCCTGCAGATACCACACACGTATGCCACATTTGCCCTCAGTTCACTGAGGACCAGATCCAGCCCTGTAACTTGGCTGCCTTGTCATTCGGCGGCCCTGTGCTGTTTTCATGGTGTTCCCAGCGCCTGCCTGGGAACCTGCTGCATTGCCGTATTACAAGGGCCGTTATTTATGTTGCAATTAGGGAGTGACTGGGAAATAACCTCATTGTCATATTTATGAAGTTACTTCGAGGCGGTGTGCTCTGGGATAGAGAAGGCTTGCTCCGGGAGAGGGCTGAAAGGGCCAGCCATTGAGGGACCATGAAAAACTCCTGCTGCTCATGTTAACCTGCAGGGGCTCTGGAGTAGAGCCTGCCTCGGGGTTAGTGCAGGGGACTCCTGGGTTTTCAGCCTACCTGTCACTGGTTCACTGGGCAAGTCACGTAGGCTGAACCCTGCCAGCCGTACACTGCTTCACTCCCTGTTGATTCCAGGGAAAGCATTTGTGGAGGAAGGCGCTACGCTCTGTGGCTACGTCTACACTGGCCCTTTTTCCGGAAGGGGCATGTAAATTTCACCAGTCGTCGTAGGGAAATCCGCGGGGGATTTAAATATCCCCCGCGGCATTTAAATAAAAATGTCCGCCGCTTTTTTCCGGCTTTTAAAAAAGCCGGAAAAGAGCGTCTACACTGGCCCCGATCCTCCGGAAAAAGTGCCCTTTTCCGGAGGGTCTTATTCCTACTTCAAAGTACTTTCTGGAGGATCGGGGCCAGTGTAGACGCTCTTTTCCGGCTTTTTTAAAAGCCGGAAAAAAGCGGCGGACATTTTTATTTAAATGCCGCGGGGGATATTTAAATCCCCCGCGGATTTCCCTACTACGATAGGTGAAATTAACATGCCCCTCCCGGAAAAGGGGCCAGTGTAGACGTAGCCAATATGTTTTTCCAAGTTAGATTATGTGGTATGAAATCAACACTAGCAGGGAAAGTGCACTGGGGATATAGGAGATTCTGGTCCTTAGGGTGCGGCTAGCAAAGCTGCTCATTAGGAATTGAGGGTGCTCAGCACCTCTGGAAAGCAGGCCCTTCACCCCACTCAGTCACCTCATTTTATAAAATTGGGACAGGATTCTTACCTTTGGAGCACACGCTGAGACGCTCGATTTAAAGGTGTTCTGTATGGACTAAGTGCTATTGCTTAAGGTTTTCAGCTGCCCCTGGGGAATTAGCCACGCAGCTCCCATTAATTATGATTTACATTATTATCCCCAGGAAAGGATAATGCATAATGTTCCACCGCAGAGATGGCTGCATTTCAGTGGAGGATAAGAATAAAACCTAGCTCTTACATAGCACTTTCCATCAATAGACAGACAGAACCTTTCTGGTATATGCTGTTGGCAGAATTCAAGGTTTGTTTGTTTTTTTATAATTTCGACAGACACCAATGTTTATTTTAAGCTTTTTTTCCCAGTGTTTTTCTATTTGAATGTTCAAAGTTGTGGGAAGTTATGGGGGGATCAGAATATAAAAGCAGAGGCTGAGGTTCAAAAAGTTTAAGCTTTATAATAGTTCAAACACCAATTGTCAACATTATACGTCTATGCAAAGTAAATAACCTTAAATGAATGACCAAGTTCTCGAGCAACATTTTTCTTACTTAGCCTACGAATACATTTTGATTGTCGTCAGTGGAAACATTTTCTGTGTACAGTGAAATTGGCGTTTACTGACATTTACTGATCAAAATTGAATCCTTTCAAGCCTCTGTATACGGAACGGAGAATGCTTGGAGATCCTTTAGGTAGACACCAGAGCACGATGAACTATTGGAGCTAAAGGCCAATGCTGGCACAAGAACAAAGGGGGATAAACTGGCCCTGAAGGAATTCAGCCTGGAAATGGGAAGGTTTCTAACCCTCAGAGGAGCGATGCTCGGGAAGAGGCTCCCGTTGAGGGGAGTGGGGGCAAACAACTCAATGCAAGTCTGGCAGATTTAGGTGCCTGGGTTGCCTGCGGTAGCAGAGATGGGCCTGGGTGACATGGGCTTTTGAGGGGCGCGGTATTTGTTTATCCCGTAGGTAGTGCGCAAAGCTTGCGGGTAAACAGGCTGCTACGGACACCCAGGCTGGTGCTGCACATGAAAGCCCCAGCGTGCGTGGGGAGGATGCTCTAGGATCCGCTCAGCCCGCCCCCCTTGCCTGGAGCCTGCCCGGGAATGAGTCAGACATTTGCAGGCGAGGGAGGCAGCGGGGCCGTGGGCTGATCCCCAGCGTGGTGCAGAGCAGGCATACCTGGGCTGGGTGCAAAGCTCGCTGCGCGCCTGCTGGCTGTCTGCGGAGGGCGGTCCCGGGAGAGATGACGCGGCGGGTTTTCATGTGAGGCAGCTGGCCTGGCAGTGTGGGAAGAGAGCCCGTTCCTGCTCTGTGCGGCGAGGTCTGCTGCGACTGCAGTAGGCATCAATCACTGCGCGGGGGTGTGAAAGTTGGAGAAGAGGCTGCTCCGCAGCAAGCGCTGTGGTGTACGCGCAGCCCCGTCCGGGAGAGGAGAGGAGCCTCGCTGCAGGCATGGGGACGGACCGCGCTTGCCAAGGTAGGAGCTGCCCCGCATGCAGGAGCGAGGGGGAGAGAGAGGAAAGGCAAATGCTGGGCTTCGAGGCAGCACGAACTCGCCAGCCGGCTGCTCTCCGCATTGTGACAGTCCCAGCTCTGCCTGCCCCGGAGCCGACCGACCGCCAGGCACGCGGGGCCGGGGGCGGCCAGGGGCTGCCCGACCGCCAGGCACGCG